AATTTTACCTCTTCAGTGGAGTGGTCATCTCTGGCGCTATTGGTTTTTTATTTTTGTATGGAGAGTGGGGGGTTAATTTCAATATGTGGCAGAAGTTCAGATAAATCTACACTGCTAAGATAGATAAGTAAATGCTTCTTCCTGCACAGCGGGGGTCTGTGACTAGATGATCCTGAGGTCTGATTTCAGCCCTTCTACCCTGGAAACCTCACAGTTCAGTATACCTAATAAGCCCCCTTATGGGGCCCCCTCCCGCCCGGACCCCCATAGTAGCGGCCTGGGCTGCTATAGCTATTGTTACGTCACTGGTCTTTAAAGGAGAACTATGAGATGAGTGATTTCCACTCGTCTCATAGTTCTAGCCGACCTGTGACAATGAGACTGTCACAGGTCGGCTCAGTAGATCGGGAGGTGAGCGAACACATACCAGGTTCGCTCACCTTTCGATCCTGTCACGGCTCTCTGCCGTGACAGGGGAGGGGCTGGATTCCCCCCTCCCCGCTCCGATCCGCCAGTGCTGACTGGCGGAACGGACGGGGGAGGGGCGGGTACAGCTGGCTCTGCCTCTAGATAGGCAGAGCCAGCTGTCACTCACACAGCTGGGCGGATCCCGTCATCTAAGTCGGGATCCGCTCCGGCTGCAGCGGCTCAGTATACCGCGAGCTATAAATCGCGGTATACTGAGCTTTGGGTGACGGGAGGACGCTAGTTTGTGTCCTCCCATTACCCTAAGGAGAACTATGGGGAAAAACACTGACCCCATAGTTCTCCTTTAATCACCTCCCGTCCGCCGATCGTTAAAGGACGGCCGGACGGGAGTCTCCTGGATGCGGGTGGGCGTCTTCAGATGTTCTTCGTGGCCGAGCCCGCTCGTGTGCGCCCCCTGGCGTGCACGAGCGGGAAACCACCTGGATTTTAAACGGCCAGCGATGGCCGTTTACATACAAGTGGTCTGGTCGCTTGTATAATGCAAGTGAGGGTGCGCCCCCCCTCCTTACCTCTGGTCGCCGTCGCTGTCCCCGCCGCAGCCATCCCCGCGATCCCGGGCGTCCATCCGTCCCGTGCGATGTGGCTCTGTGCACTGAGAACGGAGGGAGATCAGTACGCGATCTCCCTCCGCTCTCCTTCCAGTCTCTGAATGCAGGAAGTGATGTATATTACATCACTTCCACATTCCTCTGTCACTCTGGTACAGAAACCGGAGAGAAGCTGATGAAGCAGATCTGTGCTTCATCAGCTTCTCTGGGGGTCCCTAGGTGACATTAGGGGTCTTAGAGACCCCTGATGCCTCCATAAAGGGGACCTGTCACTGTAATTTGTTATCATATAGGGTACTTCTTAGCACCCTATGTGATAACAATAAAGTTAAGTGTAAAAAAAAAGTTTAAAAAAAAATGCTCACAAAATAAAAATTTACACACACAAAACAAAAAAAACCCACAAAATTTGTTTTAAAGTCCCCCAACCCCACATAGATGCGCAAAAATGCGTTGGATGCGCCTACACGCAAAAACGACGATTGCTCCAATTATGCTGTACACGTTACATATCATCGCGAACGTCGCAGTGAGAGCAATAATTCTCGGCCATCAATCACTGATAACACTAAACTGATGAGCGGTAACAGCTTTTAGAGCGTCGCCTATGGCCAATTTTGGCTATGGTGTTTTTTTGCGATTTCGCGGGCGCTCGCAATTTTAAGGCTTGACATGTTTGGTGTTTATTTACCCGACGTGACCCCGTCTTTTATATTTTACCAAAAAATTGGGTATAAATAAATGTTTCCTAAAATAATAAAGGGAAAAACATTTTTTTTTTTTTTAATATTCTGTATTTTTTTTGTTATACAGGTATTCCTCACTTAACGACTAAAAAAAAAAAAACCCCCCCCCCCCCCCAGTGGTGATTATGATTAAATACCACCAAAAGAAAGCTCTATCTGTCCACCAAAAAATGGTATAAAATTCATTTCAGTACAGCGCTGCATGACGGAATAAACGTCAGTCAAAGTACCGCAGCGCTGAATACTGAAAAATAGCCGGGACAGGAAGGGGGTGTAACACCCCGGTCAGCAAGTGGTTAAGGATATTATTTTTAAACATTAGAATTAAAGCTGAATTCCATGCTGGAAACAAAAAAAAACCTGCAGTGCCTCCCCCCCTCCCACACTGCAAGGGTGACTAGGGATAGAAGAATAAGGTATAATACCTTCCTTACTCCGGTAGGCTCCCACTTTCTGTGGGACTGTTCCTGCAAAGTCTCTTCTCTTAGACTCTCCTGACCGCCGTTGCACCCCTGCTTCCTCTACAGTGTTAATACACCAAGCAGTGTATGTAATGACCCCCAGGGAGTGTCCACAACACGGAGCGTCAGGTAGAAGGGGAGAGCACTGGTTGGGGGGGGGGGGGGGGGGGGGGGAGCACTGCAAAGATTTTTCTTCCAGCCTGGAGTTTAGCTGTATGTATCTAGCAGTCTTAGACCAAAAAAGTTTTGTTTCTTCACCACTGCATTCCATGGGTCATGTTTGTGTTAGGAAGTTCACACTGTGGACATTTATGACTATATGTGGACACATTTCTTAAAGGGATATCAACCCTGTAATAGCATAATGACGCATTTTGTTTGTGATAACGTTTTTTTTAAACATTTTTGTTTCTTCTTCTGGCCGCTTCTGGAACTTTCTAGCTGAATTCAACCAAAGAACTGGAGGGGAAGAGGGAGCAGATGACGGTGAAAGGGGTCAGATGACTCATTATAGTCCAGGGTACCTGAAACCTCTTGGAAATGCAACCGTCTCTGCTTAAAAACTAGCCATGTATTCTAGCAGTAGATTTGACTAAATAATATAAAAAAAAGAATGACGTGCCGTTGGGTTGGAGGAGGAGCTTGTCCGAAAAAGATTATTATACATGCTCTACAAGAAGGAGAAGCCTTTGGCCATTGTCACCAGAACACAGGACTGTATTAAGAGAACTCTCCTCACTTCCTGTTTTATTGAAGCCCATTCGCACTGCGTTTACATGTATCATTTGTTGATTCTTCAATGCTCACTATATTTATAATGTATAAAAATGAATGATAACACACCCAAAAGTGCATAAAAATATGCACAGAAAGGTGCAAACCCAGCCTTCAAAATAACAAAAAATTTATATTTCCCCTCCCCGGCAACAGGAAGTAAAAGTGACCCTCCAAGCTTACAACTTTCCCTACTCTGTCCAAAAATGTTGTTTCAACCAGTGGGTTGAACAGATTCCTCCGTCAATGCTTACGAGTAGGGATGCACCGATACCGGTATTTTGGTACTGAGTACGAGTACCGATAATTTTTTGACGGTACTCGCCGATACCAATTACCGAGTACCGGAAGTCCCATTCAGGAAGCCAGGTGGCTGTAATGACTCGCCACCCGGCTTCCCGATTAACAAGAAAGTCTGTCCCCTCTCACCTCTGCATGTCCAGCCTGTCAGTCCCGGGGCCTTCCTCCGGTACCCATGAGCGGCCTTCGGTAGCCGTTTCAGGAAACCGGGTAGCGTGTAATGACGAGCTGCCCGGCTTCCTGATACAGGAAGTATCGTGCTAGGCATCGGAGCATTTGGGCTAGTGTGAGTACCCACCCAAATACTCGGTATCGGCACCGATATCGATACTAGTATCAGTATCGGTGCATCCCTACTTACGAGCATTGATGGAGGAATCCCCCATGTTTTAATTGTATTCTGACAAGGCCGGTGACCTGAACGAAAATAGCAGTTGATTGGTTGTCAGCTCCATACGGGCGAGAATTTTACAACCGGCTCCTTCAATCAGTTGATCAAAAGCACCATTTGTACAAAATTCGGGCAAGTTCATCGAAATTTGGAACATGTGTACCCGACTTTATGGTATGTGGTAGACCATCATTGCTATTTGCTGGTGTTTATTGACTAAGCCTATTTACATTTTATCATTAGTGCCACCTATTGGTGAATTCTAGAAGTACAACTTGTTATATTTCAAGGGACAAACTTTAGTATGCTGAACCAGCGGTCGCCAAACCGGTGGTCCACGAGAACATTTTGGTGGTTCCCGGGCCTCAATGACTCAAGCAGTGGCTGTCACAAGGAATGCACGGCTCTCAGTACAGTGCCGGCTCTGCAGGAGGCGGGACTTAATAATATGGGCCGGGGTGGGCGGCACCGCTCCCTCCCTCCACAGCACTGCCACTCCTGCAGGCACACCCGCACCTATGTATGTATGTATGAATGTATATATAATGTATATGTACGTATACAGTAGATATATTCCCAGATTTTTTGTTTAACAAATTCATATTAGTGGTTTAAAATGATGAATTTAGTGGTCCATGAAGTCCAAAAGGTTGCCTACTGCTGTGCTGAACAATGCAGACAACAGCAAGATGAGACTCATGAGCTAGGACAGGTAAGTAAGTACCGTATTTTTCGCTCCATAAGACGCACTTTTTTCTGTGCCTGCGTCTTATGGAGCGAATACCGACGCCCGAGGCATGCAGTTTCGGGCGCCGGGCGAGTAGTAGGAGCCACTGCTCGTTTAATACGAGTGATCTAACGAGATCACTCGTATTAAAACCGAGCAGCGGCGACGATCGAGATAACCATAGAGCAGACGAAGAATAGACGTTCTTCGCCTGCTCTGTGTCATCACTGAGACCGTGGCGCTGTAATCACAGCGCCACCTGTCTCAGCGGTCACTAACTGCAGCTTCTGTCACAGCTTCCGTCATAGAAGCTGTCACAGAAGCTACAGTCTCGAGTGCTCCATAAGGCGCGCCGGACCTCCCTGCGTCCTATGGTCCGGTGCGTCTTATGGACCGCAAAATACGGTATTTGAAATTTATAATGAAATCGGATAAGCACTTCAGGTATATGGTGACTTGGTATAGACCTGTTTTGGTTGTTCTGGTTTGACTTATTCAGGAAGTCATTGTTATATAGCACTGTTATCGCCGCACTGATTTCCAACATCTGGCTTTTTCCTGTAGGAATGGGTGCCGAGGCCAAACCTGTGTTCCGCTACAGCAAGGACCAACGCCCGACAACGCTGCCCATCCAACCATTCGTGTTTCAGCATCATTTCAGCAAGCCGAAATCTCGCCCATTGCACAGCCACTTCACTTCCAGCCTTTCCCAGCTCTATGGATTGTCCAGCAGCCGGTCATCCAGCCAGCACAATGTGTCAGAGACCCAGTCGTCAGCCCCAGTCACGCTGTCCGGGCAAGCGGAAGCATCCAGTGGCCATCCTAGGATGATCAATGTGGTTGGGAAACTGTCTTTGGATGGGCTGGTGAATACTAAAGACGAGCAGAATGCATCGCAGGTCCCAGATACAACCCGGCCCTCACCACTGGGCAGCTACTCTCCCATCAGGAATGACGCCACTTACTTTCAGAGCATGGACTCTGGATCATCTAGCTCTCCATTTCCAGAGAAGACCAAGGAGAACCAACCTCCCAGGAGCCGCTCCTGCCCGATGTCGGCCAACCTCTTGCCTTTTAGGTCAACGCAAGCCAGGGGCACCACACTTCCGGGAGCGGTCAAATCCACCCAAAAGTATAAGGTCTCTCCTAAAGCAGAGGTTCAGAAGTCGATTGTGAAACGAGAACCTTTGAAGGAAGCCAGCACACAGGTATCCAAGCACGGCCTTCCTCCCATTACATCACTGCCTCTGCTAAACACCGTCCTTCAGGAGGTCACCAATGACATTCCTCCAAAGGAAGACGACAAAGTGAAGAATTTTCCAGAGAAGATCATGATGCCAAGACCAGTGAATGGTAAGAAAATCCCACATTCTTTTTATTGAAAGTGTATGTAAACCCTAAATCAATTTTATATACCCTTTAAGAGTTTCCTAAAATTTGGAGGTATATATACAGATAGAGGTATATATACAGACAGAGATATACGTTGTGTACATGAACAAGGAAAACAGCTGGTAAAGGAATACAGAACCATACATATTAATACAGTAACAGCACAGTATAGGCAAGTGAAGGATGCACGTTTCCATGACGGTGACATATTGAACATGGTCACCTATTTAGCCAGGGGTGGAAATTTTGGGGATTTGAAAAGACATCTAAGCACTCTATAGGTGTGCACACCTCCACAGTATAAAGAATCCAGCCCCAAACCGCACCATATCCAGGACTTAGTCGTAGAGCTCTTTTACTTGTAAGGTTGTTTAACTGACATAATATGGAGATCAAAGTTCATCCCTTAATGAATGAGTTTCATTTTTAAATGAACAATGTTATTTTGTATCTCTCTATCCCCCTCTGTGCAATGTTTATAAACAATGTTACTTTGTATCTCTCTATCTCCCTCTGATCAATGTTTATAAACACGGTGTCAGCAGGTTTCTAAAGGCTTCTGTGTTTGCCCAACTTCCTGCTGTCATTTTGACAGCCAGGAGTTGCTGGCAATTGAGAGGAAAGGAGCAGCAAAGAGGCAGGAGAATAGGGTTTAATACACACACCCTGTGTACTTTGATCAAGTTTTTTTGGGAGTGTAAAGCATGCACAAAGGTTCACAATTGGTTAAATATGTGCTGCACACCCAAGCAAGATATTTATATGATAACAAGCAAATAATAATTGTCAGTGCACATAATAACAAAGAGTAAAAAAATGAAATGTGTAAATCCAACAAAATATTTTTTTTGAGCACTGATCATAGCGATCATAGCGATCACATGAATGAAAATCAGCTATGAAGCCAATAGGGCTCTTGCACACCGGTGTCCGCCCTCATATACCATAAATGCCTGTTTGTGCTTTGAGTAGTGTTCAACATGGTGCTGTCTTTCCTTGTAAAGGATAGGAGGGTTTGGTTCCACTTTAACACATACAGAAACAATTTGGTGATATCCAGAGGTAGCAGATGAATTCACCTGATAGTCTACTCTCCACATTCTTGAAGCCCATATGTCTCCTCACACTTTGACCTCTGGTCAGTGAGTGGAAAAAATACCATTGGAGATTGTGTAATGAAATACTTGACAACAATGGATTCCCCACCTCCTATCAATCAATAATACATGGTCAACTCAAAAACCAAGCATGGGTATTCTTCATGCCAGTGTAATTATACTATATGGTCAAAGGTTTGAGGACATCTAGATGAGCTTGTTGGACGTTCCACAACCATGAGCATTATATGGAGCTGCCCCCACCCCTTCACCCTTCACCCTTTTCATCTTTAACTGCCTCCATTCTAGGAAGCATTTGGACAAGATTTTGGAGCGTGTCTGTGAGGATTGTACCCATTTAGCTAAAGAGCATTTGTGAGATCAGGTAATGCTGTTCGAAGAGAAGACCTGACTCTAAATTGGCCTTACAATTCATCCCAAAGGTCTTCAGTAGGGCTGAGGTCAGAGCTCTGCAGGACACTCTAGTTCCTCCACACCAGACTCATCAAACCAGGTCTTTATGGAGCTGGCTTTGTACACAGGGGACAGTCATGGTGGAACAGAGAAGAGCCTTCACCCAACTGTTACCACAAGGTTGGAAGAGCACCAATTGTCTAAAATGTCTTGTATGCTGCATTAACACAACCAAACTCAATAATTTGTAGGAGTGTCCACAAACCTTTTGGCCAAATAGTGCATCCGCTTTCCCTAATTACATCATAACTGGTGACGTTTGGAAGGGAATCCCACATCCTCCCAATGATTTCAATATGGCATCCAGTATTCTGACCTGAGGTCAGAGAGTAATGCAGAGAAATGGGTCGGGAGGGATTTTTACCAAATTGCTCATGTTTAGTGATATACAAGAGAGATTTATCATTATTTGCTCTAGAATGTGAATCTGTGTAACTCTTTCTTTTGACTCTTTCTTTCAGTGATAGAGTATCTCTTGGATTTTATGACTCAGTCTTAATGCCATCCACATGACCTTGGTCTGTTTATTTTTCACTCTTCTGACCCGTGTATCCAATTATTGGTTCCTCTCCACAGGAAAGCCTTCGTCTATCTGTTCCAGCGACTTTTTCCCGGATTATTTTTCCGTCACGGAGCGCCCCCCAGCTGAGTTCTGCCTGTCCCCTGATGGCAGCGCCGAATCTGTCTCCATCGATCTCCTACAGAAGAAAGGTGAGCCGTTCAGTAATATTTCTTGTAGGAGGATATGACAATAGAGACAGCTATGTTGTTGGTATGTTGCATATAAATACACAAATCAATGACAACCCAAAACGTTTCCGGTCTGTAACCCAACTGGGGAAATTCACTCCTTTCTATTTGTCTTGGTGAACGGTGGAACCCCGACAGAAAGCGATGGGCAATCCAAAAATGTTACAGTTGTCATTGGAACAAGAGTAAAGGGGGAAATAGTCTAAAGCCTTGGTTCTCAACTGGTGGGTCGTGACCCAAAAGTGGGTCGCGACCCCATGTTCAGTGGGTCGCCACATGCCTTCCACTTTTCTAGGTGAGAGACTCCTCAGCCTCCCCCTAGTGCAGCACCGTCAGTTCTCGCAGTGAGCAGCCATTCAAAATATGCTGCCCGGCTCTGCATGTAAGCTTAAGGGGAGGTGGGGTGGGCTGGAAGTGTAGCCATAAGGGAGCTTCATCCTTATGTGCATTGCTTACAGCTCTCACATGTGCCATGTAGAGGAGCATGGACTGGACTGACATCACATTCTGGCTCCTGGCACCTCTACAGAGCACACAAGTATGTTGTACAAGCCATGCACATATGGATGGAGCTCCGTCACAGCACAGCAGCCCACACTGGACCCCAGGCTGAGGATTCACTCCAGTTCTCATAAGGTAGGGAGACTGTGTGGATCTTAATAAAAAGAAAAGAAAATTATCATTTTTTTTTGGAGTGTGTGTGTATATCTGAGTGTGTGAGATTGTGTCTATCAGTGTTTTTAAGGGGCCGGTTAATACTAGAACAGTACGTTAATCACACAGCCCCATGCGATGAATGCACTGTACCACGCAATCACACCTATCGCCTGTTCTGGTGTGGAAGATGTGTTGCATTGCCATTAATTTGAATGACACCCCAAACACATCTTCCACCCACAGTCTGATCGTCTGCACTCGAACGAATGGTACTGCAATGCCGTGCATTCCATTGCAGTGAGACTTGGGTCACAACTTAATGACCTAGGACAAATGTGGGTCCCGAGGTTACACAGGCTGAGAACCACTGTTCTAAAGGAAACTTGATCCAGTGACAACTATCTAAGGGTTGGAATTCCCCTCACTTTGGAGAGATTTCCTCTCACTTCCTGTTGTGTCTCCATCAGAGCAATTAAAAACCTGACAAGGGCTTTAATCATTCTCTACTGGGAGGATCGGGACTACAAGCGTGCCCACCAACACACATGGACCACCATTGCCACTTACAGGAAGACGGTAAAGAGCAATGATGTGCAGCTGAAGTGAGTGTATGTAGACAGGAAGTCGCTGGAAGATGCCAGAGGGGATCAGCAGCACTAATTTCAGCCGTACATGTTTGCCTTACTCTTATAGGGGCCGAACAGCAGTGAGTGGATAACCGAAGGTCGCCGAGCTCGCTTATTCTGCTCGCTACATCCGAGGTAGCGAGCAGTAAAATGACAAGTTAATAAAAGAAAAAAGAAAAAAAACAGCATGTGGTCCCCCTACCGATCCATACCAGACCCTTTAGGTCTACAGTAGTAGGAAAGTTAGGAGGGACTCCAAGTTAAGAATGAAAAATAATGGGTAGTGTTTCCCCCCCAAAGTCATACCAGACCCTGGTATGAGGTCCCCCTTAAAATTCCCAACCAGACCCATAATCCAAGCACAGGCCAGGCAGGGCAGGAAAAGGAGGGGGGGGAGGGGCGAGCGGCCCCCCCTCCCTCCCATACCAGGCCACATGCCCTTGGCACTGGACGGTCCCCCCTGGAAAAGCACCTTGTCCCTGTGCCGATGGGGACAAGGGCCTCTTCCCCACAAGCCCTGAGGCATTAGTTGTGGGGGTGCGAGCGGGGGGATTATTTGCATCGGCGTACCCAGATGCTGGCCCCCCCCCGCTTTGTGATCGACTAAGGGGTACTTGTACCCCTACCCATTCACTAAAGGGTTAAATAAAGATGTTAAAAAAAACCCAACAAACGTCAATCACGGCATCCAGCGTTGTCAACGATAATGCCGACTCGCCGAAATTAAAAAAAGCCCGCCGACCCGTCAGCTCCCGCCGAACACACGCCGCATAATGACCTGAGTGACAGGTGCCGGCAAAAAGTATACAAATGGGTGGCGCTAGCGGTGACATCACTGATGGCTCCGCCTATTTGTTTTGATTTGTCCGCCACCTGTCAAATGACAGCCCACTGTCCCCAAATGACCTGAGGACGCTGGGCAGTCATTGAATGACAGCAACTGGGCAGAGCCAGCCGTGACATCACAGCTGGCTCCGCCCAGTTGCTTACATTTGCGGGGAGAACAGTCTGCTTTGGCAGACCGTTCTCCCTGCTTCGGCTGTGACTTCGGCTCAGCCAAACCGAAGCATATGCGCTCGGCTCGGCTCGGCTGAGCCGTTTGGCCGCCTTTGGCTGCTGTATGGGCTATAGTGAATAGCCCGTGCAGCCCTTCGGTTTGACTGAACTGGAGGGCTCCGGCTCCTTCGTGAATAACCCTTTAAGTGGGGAAGGATTCGGGTCAAGTTCTTACTGCTATCCGGGGTTCCGTTAGAAAGATTTCCCCCCACTTTTAATTCCAGTGACAAAGATTTTACCAAACAGGAAGTGGGGAAAAATCTGCAACAAGGACACAGACAGAAATACAAATCCCTTACTCTACTAAAGAAAAGCATTTCCTCTCTCTCTGTATTATTGTTGGAGAGTTCTTCTCACTTCCTGTTTGGGAAAATGTTGTCAGCAATACAGGAAGTGAAAGGTAATCTGTCTAACGGAGGCCCACAGTGCAGTAAAAACATAACAGGGGTGGTAACCCGTCCTTTGGCTGGACATACACTTGAACTAATCTTGGATGATTGGGTCCAGTATGGATGAGAACACTGCGTGTGATTGGCTGACTTAACTCATTGAAATGCATTTCCTGTCTCCCCAGGGCTGGTGAAGGCCGTCAATATTGCCGTCGATCTGATTGTGGCGCACTTTGGCACCAGCCGAGACCCCGGAGTAAAGGTAACAACGCAGTCTAAGGTCTATGAATATTATGCAATACAAACTTAATTCTACTTAGTAGATTAGAGAAGCCTGTCCCCTGCAAGCATGCTGCAGACAATGTGCCTGGATCTCTGTGTGGAAGCAGTGGTCTCTCTGCAGAGGTCCACCCTGCCCCCCCCCATGCTGAGTCAGACTCACAGCTCTATCAATCAACACAGCTCGTACTCACTGCTGATTGGAGGCAAAATCTATAGCAAAAACTATAGTTTTGAATGGAGTAGGAAAGGGTTTTTTTTTTTTTTTTGCAATCCATCCTCCCTGGCCTGACTGTCTTTGGCCCCGCCCCTTTCATTGTTTTAATCATCCATGATTAAGCATCACGTGTGGGCATTACCTAGGGGTGGTCTGCATGTGGCCTGCCTACGTACGCCCACTCCTCCAGACCAGACATCCCAACCTGCAAAACCTTATTTCAGGGAGGTGCCCTTCTCATTTCAGGGAGGTGCCCTTCTCATTTCAGGGAGGTACCTTCTCTGTTTTTTTTTATTTTGACAGCAGCCGTCGGCCACCTACACAATAAAAAAACAAAAACTAAATAGCAGGGGAATGAATAGTTAGGCTGCTATTGGTCATTTCAAATTGCAATAGCCAATAGCAGGCTTGCTCTTGTACCCACCCACTGCTGCTGTCAATCAGCAGTATACATGTGTGAGTGTATGTATATATATATATATTTATGTTATTATTAATTACATTATGTTTTTTTTTTATTTGTGATTATTAACACTACAGTATATGACAAGACTAGGAAGTGTGCCACTCACCCTCCACAGGCGTCTTCTATCGGCTCCCCCTCGCACTCATCAAAAGGTGTCTGCAGAGCTAGCTCAGGGACTTTTGTCTCCAGCCAATCACAGGCCGCCCTGCCTAAACCCCTCCCACAGACCAGCCACCGTTACAGGATCTGCGGGCACGATCTTTTTTTTGCCTTACAGCTAAAAACTTTATTTACACTCAGCAGAACCAGTGAGCGCAGCAGATCCGGAAAGGTTTCAATCATTTCCGGGATAAAATGTCTCTCTTGCGGGCGTCCGGGAGCCGCTATCTAATAGCGGGAGACTCCCGGAACGTCCGGGAGACTTGGGATGTCTGCCAGACTGACATCCACCCATCAAGTAATTTAACCCCTCCCAAGATCAGTCTACTGCTTGCATCACGGCTGAGGACACTTCAGAGGAGTACTGAGGCAGGGTGATGCAATTTTCTGTATGGACAGCAACGTGCCACCCCCCCTTCCACCAGCCATGATCTCCCGGCATTGAAACATAGAGACCCAGTGATGACATATGTAATAAAAAAGGAATATTATAAATGTCACTAGCAAATTGAAGGGGGGGGGGGGGATCAGGGAAGATAAAATATAAACAAATTAGACTTTAACATTGTGTTAGTGGATCTGGTGTGTTAAAAGTTGTAAAGTTATCAGAACACTATGTTTTTGTGCTGGCGGCCCTTTAAGAATCTAAAAGAATCTAATAATGAGCTGGAAGCATGACGTTCTCATTAAGGTAACAATGACATTTCCTGTCTATAAGCAGCAATAATGAGCTTCGTCCAATGAGGGTCATCGATTATAACTGTATAATGAGCCCAGCGCTGTGCGGATCCAGACAAACCACAAATCATTCCACGTCCCAGCCAATCCGATACGTCTGACTCTTAACACACAGACGACGGACATTTCATCATTTGTATCTGTCGGGTCACTGCGTTCCCTGGAGTCCAGCTCATTATCAGCATCATTGTCATCATCATCATTGTCATCATCATCATTGTCAGCATCATTGTCAGCATCATTGTCATCATCATCATTGTCAGCATCATTGTCATCATCGTCGTCGTCATCATCATCATCATCATTGTCATTATGAAGGATGCACCGATACCGGTTTTCATTATCGAGCACGAGTACCGACATTTTGCTTTCAGGACTTGCCGATACCGAGTACCGATACCAGTGCTTCCACTGGCATGGACAATCAGGAAGACATGCCGCTTGACTTCCTTATTGCCCAGGAAGCGGGCTTCATGTTGTTTGGCCGGTTCGATTGTGATGGGCTGGGAAACCGGCTTCCCAGCCAATCAACATTGTGTCGGCTTCCCGGGCAATCAGCATGGAGCCGGGAAGCGGGTAATTACTCGCCGCCCGGCTTCCTACGGCACTGCCGGTCAGAGGAAATCTCCCTCTGACCGCAAGTTCCGGTGCCGGGGAAGGTGCAAGTACTCTGCCAAATACTCGGTATCGGCACAGTTACCGATACTAGTATCTGTGCATGATGGTGATGATGACTATGATACATGACTAGTATCCTTGTCATTATCATAGTCGTCATCACCATCGTCGTCATCAGTTTCAGTTTTCATAGCTGGCAACATTATAAAACTTCAGCCAAGACTTGATTTTTGGAGTTGAGAGGGGTTATAATCTCATTGTCCCCATCGGGGGGAAATCTCTCTGTGCTTCCTTTGTGGTCACCAGTAAAGAATGTGAGATAAAATCTCCTTACAAAATAAAATCTTTTTCTCTTCATCTAAAACTACAAAAAGTTTTGGTTGTTGTACGGACTATAAGCTGAAGTTTAATCTACTCTTTATTTTCCTATCCCGGTTTCTCCCTTCCCACTCATCCCCCTTTTCCTATTTTCGTTACTTACCCGAATATAGCGATGTCATCACAGGGTCTCTGTGCTTCTCTATATGCAATAGAGGCAGATTATGGCTGGTGGGAGGGGCCAGCAGGGTGCTGTACATAGATTCCTGAGAACATCACAGCACCCTGCTTCTGTACATCTCTCAAGAGCCCTCAGCTCTGACGCAAGCAGTGGGCGGGCTCTTGGGAGGAGTTAGGCAAATATCAGAATGCCTTGATGGGTGGGTGTCAGTCTGGAGGAGTGGACGTTCCTAGACAGGCTGTATTTGCTTGCAGACCGTCCTAGGTAACACCCAAATGTGATGCTGAGCCTCCATGATTGAAAGACCTGAAATCCAATGAATGAAAGGGGCGGGGCCAGGGACAGTCAGGCTGTGGAAGAAACGGCTAGATGATGCTGGACATTCACCAGCCAGGAAATGAGGCTGTGTCTACACTTCTGACAGGCTGGCTAACTGAACAGGGGGCAGTGCCAAATGAGCCCTGCCTGAGGTCATCATTCCTAAAATATGGGCTTCTATCACATATTATACACAGGCAACTATAAAACAAATGTACATCCGCTGATAACCGTAATATCTCATAAAACTGGCCCTTGACTCGGACCTCACCTTTCTTCCCCACATCCAATCCCTATCCAAATCCTGCCACCTTCACCTTCCTAACATCTCCAAAATACGCCCCTTCCTCACCAAGGAAACCACAAAGCTGCTCATCCACTCCCTTGTTATCTCTCGTCTCGACTACTTTAACTCCCTCCTCATTGGCCGACCTCTACACAGGCTCCTCCCCCCTTCAGTCTATCATGAATGCTGCTGCCAGACTTATCCACCTAACCAACTGCTCACTGTCTGCAACCCCCCTCTGCCGATCCCTCCACTGGCTTCTATTGTATCACCCTAACCATCCCCTCCGCTCATCCCAAGACCTCCTGTTCTCTAGCTCCCTCGTGAACTCCTCCCATACTCGCCTCCATGACTTCACTACAGTCTCTCCCATTCTGTGGAACTCTTTACCCAACATGCCCATCTGTCTCCCACTCTGACTGCCTTTAGGCGAAACGCGCGACAAACACGCATATTCGATACGCCCAGGTGTGAACCCAGCCTAAGACCCATCTCTTCAGGGAAGTCTATCTCACCTCAACCTAACCACTGAGCTATCACATTCTCAAACAATTCATCCCCACACAGCTACCTCCTCATGTATCACTGGCCCCTCCCTTTTAGATTGTAAGCCCTCAGGGGCAGGGCCCTCCTTACCATCTTGTCTTGAATTGTATTGTGATTGTAATGTCTTCCTTATATTGTAAAGTGCTGCGCACACTGTTGGCACTATATAAATCCTGTATAATAAAAATAATAATAGTTTCCCGTTGAGCAGAACTATAAAAGTTTTTCCTCTTTCCTTTGCTCAGGCCAAGCTGGGGAACAGCTCTGTCAGTCCCAACATCGGGCACCTGATCCTGAAGTATCTGTGCCCGGCGATCAGGGACATCCTAAGTGACGGCCTCAAGCCATGGGTCCTGGATGTGATCATCGGGCAGAGGAGGAACGTGTCATGGACGGTGGTGGAGGCCTCCACACAGCTGGGTAATCCCAATATAAAAGTGAACATGCCGACCTCCGACACCAGAGTGTCTTCAGACGCATGCAGAACAACCTTCATTGTAACAACTTCCATGTTTTACATTGTTTAAGCAGATCTATGTGTGATTGGTAACTTACAGCACCTCTGTGGGGAATGGTAACCAGTGCTCCCCATCAACATGGAAAGGATTTTGCAGTAAATGTGCCCACAAGCTGTGCAGTAAGACGTGACTCTGGGTGAGGTGCTTGCTTTCTCTGAGCCATTATGGACCATCCAGTCTGAATGCTGTTTCTGCTCTGTAACAGAGAGATCATGTGATCAAATGCCTAGGCTTTGGGTCATATGACCAGCAACGGAGGTAGCCTGGAACTAGAAAGGTGGGAATTTTAATGGCAGTTCCACTTTAAGTTAACAGTTGACCATGGATCCAATTTAATGGAGCCATTGTCAATGGCTTATGTCAACTGGGGAGGGGCCTGGGGGAATAATTTAAAGGGATCTCCAGGACTACAGGTAATTACCCTTACCTCCACACTGTCCTTTCTCATAGATAACTTTCCAAAAACGATGTAGCTGTAACAATAAAAAGAATTGGTCATATTGCCCATTCAGGACAAAGTGACAGTTTCTGCATATATTTTGGGACATGTTTTCCTGGCATGATTTGGGCCCTTTAATT